TTGTTCCGTTTTTATTATTGCTGTAAAATTACGAGATTTGTCTCTCTTGTTCCCTATGTATTTTGAAGTAACTTGGTATAGACATAATGATTGCTGGGCACTCAAAAGTTGAAGGTTATTGTTTACTTATGCTTTTTGGACAGGTGTGGATGAACCAAGCGTGTTGTCAGCAGTTTCTAATTGAATGTAAACAGATGTATTGACACTGGCGTTCCAAACTAGGTTTCAGATCTTAGTAAGATTCCAAACTTGAGAATATATATATTCAATTAGAAACAGACAAATTACAATATATTTTTTTTCTGAAGAATATTATTTTAGTTTAGTCTTGAATGTGCTTATCTCATCGTTGTTATTCTCATTGTCTAATAATTCCACATTAAAAAATGTTTTGCCAAATATATTTTTTTTTAGCTCAGAAGAAATGAAACAAATATTTTGCATCATGTTGATGCTATCATTATATGTAATATTGCATTAAACACAACATCTGTATATTGAGAATGTTATGGCTAGTCACCGTCCATTAGTAGCTAACTCACATGTATGATGGAGCCCTTTATCGAAATATACACACACTGTTCATAATGGTTAATTCCAAATGATAATCGAGGGACTTCAAAGAACAAACCATCAATTTTAAAATTGTTTTTACTTGCTTTCTTTTTACTACTTTACACCTAAAGTATAATTAATTGTATAATAGTTACAATAAGTTTAATGTAGTAAGTTAAGTTTAGTCAGAAAGTCTTTTATGCATTAAAATTGTGCTTACAAATTTCATGTTAATTTATTTAATGCTTAGATGAAACAAAAGGACCCAAAGAGCCCTGTATCTTACAGAAGATGATATGCAGGTAGACGATTATGAAAATGAAGATGCAATGAAAGCAGAGGGAAAGTTTGCTGATGACGAAGAAAGCTCATCAGAGATTGAAGAATGTGATGAAGAGATGAAGAAGGGGAACCATGATATTGATGATACAGAGGACAGTAAGTGCAAAAAAACTAAATGCACTCTTTTACAGATACATTTTAAAAAATTTTAGATTCACATTGAAAGATTCACATGAAAATAAAACATGTCAGTATAAGTTGGTTGGTCATGGAATGTTGGAATAAGATTTTTGAATAGTCATAATCATTTAAGTTATGTTTTTGTTCACATTTTCAGATTTCCAGAACTTTGCAGAGAAATCACCCCCATTGTACAGTGGAGCTAGAATTACGGAACTAGTCAGTGTGGTTTTGATAATGAGCTTCATAATAAGACATCAGCTGACTGGGGAAGCATTGAAAGATTTATTGGTCTTAATTGAACTTCATTGCATAACTCCAAATTTGTGCAGAACTAGTTTGAAAATGTTTAACAACTTCTTCAAAAGTATGTCATCACCTGTGCAGATGCACTACTTCTGTAGTAGTTTTTGCAACACTTACCATGGGAAAGCAAGTCAGCCAACCTGCCAGAAATGCCAGAAAATCAACAGTCATCCTTCATATACATTCCAGTCATAGGTCAATTACAGTCACTATTTTCAGGTAAGAGTCGAGATAGGTAGTAACCTAATTTATTCAAGGTTTTGACAGACTTGAAATTAGGGTGCTGCCTTGGAAAGACCCTAATTTCTTATTGAAAAATATGTAAAATGTCTTGAAAAACCTTGAAAATTAATAATCCCTATATTTCAAATAAAACTTCAATAATATTGTATTGCTTTATTAAAATTTATAAGATTGCAATTGCTTTATTTTCCTACATTCATTTCTTAAATTCTTAGGTATATTAGATTCATCAATTCCCTAAAGCAAAGTTTTATCAGTAGTTGATATAATAGTCAGTGAACAAACCTGTATGACCATTTTACTATTGGGAAATGTTTGACAACTGTTGTGTGATAGAAACTTGTACTTATTCAACTTAAAAAGACTTTAAAAGGCCTTAATTTCTAAGTGACATAGTCTGTATCAGCACAGTTTATTATCAGTTTATTTATTACACATAGATTACTATTTGTGTTGGTCTTTTTGTCGTTCTAGTCTTCAAGATATTTTTAGTGTTACAATTTTTTGATTATATAATTCCAGTTACAATATCTAACCTGGCATGTGTCAAGTTCAACAGATAATCTTTCTTACAATAGGTTTAAAGAAGTCAGACTTACTTCATGGAGGAAGGGTTAAGGATAATCCATCAGCAATTGAAGATATCTTTGATGGGAAAACGTACAAAGACATCTTTGAGGATGACTTCTTCAAGGGAACACATAAAGGAAGAAAAGAGAAAGAAATTCACATTTCTCTACAACTCAACACAGATGGAGTAGCTCTTTTCAGATCTTCAAATTACAGTGTCTGGCCCCTGTATTTAACAGTAAATGAACTGAACCCAAAGTTAAGGTAAGCTTTCTCAATTTCATTGTTACTTTTAAGTTTCAACAGATGGAACTGGTGAACCTATGTATTAACATGAGGTCTGTGCATCCGTCTGTCCGGACTCTGGACAGGTTCATTACTCCCTTACTTCTAGTCAGATTCTAATAAAAGTTGGAAGGAAGATGAAGGATCATATGATGATGTTGAGGATGACTGATCTTGTGTAATAACTCTAGGAAATACAAGTTGTGGGGGGATATTGTTCATTGTGTTAAGTGGTTAGTTTTAAGAATTGGTTATTCTAAAAGGAATTTGTCATAATGTTATCATAGATAGACTGAGTTCAGTTTGATTCATTTACCTGCTTATATACTCATATACATCCTCATGCAAACTTGCTGAGTAAAACATTGTAATATTGAAGAAGACCTGTCTCAGATAAATATTTGACAATGTTTTCAGGTACTCCGCTGAATGCAGACTGTTTGCTGGACTCTGGTATGGCATCAACAAACCTACAATGTCAATCTTTCTGCAGCCTCTTGTTGAAGAACTGAAGTCCTTGTATGAAACAGGTTTGTTTGTTATGACTCTGCGTTTAGATTGCTTGATGAATTCAATTTCTCATGCTGGACAGAATTTCATGAACAATAGCAGGTAATTATGTTTGAAATATCAAGCATTTATTACGGATTTTAACAGCAGTATTTACAGTTCTTTCTTTTTTTTTTTCACTTAGGTACTGATGTTGTCCTGGAGGGCAGTTCACTTCTTTTGCGAGCAGTTCTTCATAGTGTTGTGTGTGATGCTCCTGCAAGATGCCTAGTTCAAAACTTTGTACAGTTTAATGGATATTTTGGATGTGGAACCTGTTTGTCCAAAGGAAAATCTGTGAAAACTGGAGAACGTGGATCTATGATGTCCTATCCATTTGACATATCAGAAGCTGGTAATCTCACTGGTGTCTCTACGCCTCGCACGCATACCCAGTGTCTGACTGACGCAAGGAGAGCAGAAGAAGACGGATCAAGTCGAAATGGTGTCAAAGGCTTCTCCCCTTTGTACAAGTTGCCCTTTTTTTTGATATGATAAGATGTGTTACTGTGGATTATATGCATTGTGTTCTTCTTGGCGTGCAGAAGAAATTCTTACATCTGTGGACTGACAATGCAAACAAACATGAAAAATTTTACATTGGAAACTTCACGTCAATACTTAATGACAGGTTACGAGGACTCTCTCCACCAAATCTTATTACAAGAATGCCGCGGTGCATTGAAGATTTGAAGAATTGGAAGGCCTCAGAGTTCAGGTCCTTTCTTTTATTTTATTCTGTTTGTTGCTTGTATCAGATTTTACCCGATGAATATTTCTCACATTATCTCCTTTTGGTTGAAAGTATATTTATTCTTTTACAGAGGTCAATTTCGCAAAATGAGCTTTCAAGAGCTAAGGTGCTTATTGCCAAGTTTTGTGCATCAGTTGATTTCTTATATTCAGAAAGGAACATGACATCCAATATGCATGCACTCCTCCACCTAACTCAGAAAGTTGAAGATCTTGGACCCTTATGGTGTCACTCTTGCTTTTTCTATGAAGATTTAAATGGGGACTTGCGATCGCTGTTTCATGGTACACAGAAAGTAGAACTTCAAATTTCAATGGCTGTAGTAATACATCAGAAGCTACCACGTTTATGTGCCCTTATTCCAAAATTCTCTGAAGCTGAATATATCTATCTCTCCTTTAAGGGAAAACATCACAGAAAGAACCTCACTTTGATTAAGGATAACATGTTTGCTGTCGACCCAATTAAGCCTTGTAACTTGTCTGTCGAAATACAAAATTTGGTTGAGGAATTTATGAATGCACCAGTAACAAGGTCAGCACAGTTTTACCGCTACTGGTGCAATGGTTTTATGTTTCATTCAAAAATGTACAAAAATGTAACAAGGAGAAACAGCTACTCAGTTGAGTATATTGGAACTGATCAGAAACGTTACCTTGGTCAGATTCAATATTACCTTGTTTTATTTACTGAGAAGAGTGCTATGTATTGTGCTTTAATCAAAAGGTTTATCAAGAAACGTAAGTGTCATTTGCATGTACCAGCTCATTTTGTTGAAGTTGAAACTGGAACCTTGTTTGATCTCATACCTGTTGAGAATATTAAGAATATGTGTGTGTATATGGATCAGGGTAGTGTGAAATTTGTAGCACTAATGCCAAATGTAAGAGAAAAAGATTAGATTTTGTTTTCATCCTGTGATAGAAGTTATGATGCATTTTTGTACATACATGTACATGTATTTATGAAACAAAATGAGTTTGTTCATTGTAATATTGTAAGACATGTGTATGCATTCTGTTAAACTCTGTATTGCCTTCTGTTCTATGTACTTTTGTGTCAATATGTAATTGAATCCTTTAAATTACTTTATGTAAACATTATTGCTCACACGCCTTCAAGATTTCACAGATTTATTTTGGAAGTAAATGAATTTAGATGGTTTTTTTCTATTTCCTCCCTCATTATTTTCAGAATAATAAAATGCAGTGACAATAACTTCAGAGTCATTCATCATTTTGCTCACACCTTCTCAAAAGCTGTATATAACTAAACACACTCACAGGATTTTCCTATTTGTTTAAGAGGAGTCCTGTATTTGAGGGTCCCAAAGGACCAGAGACCATATAATAAATTATTATTGCTATTATATGGTCTCTGCTGGGACCCATACTCTTAATTTTCAGGGGTCCTGGACTACAAAATGGGGGTCCCAGACACTTAAATATTATCATTAATACTATGTTGTAATATTGATGTAATTCAGTTACTGTTATTGTATTGTGTATCATGATCATCACATTGTTACAGTTATTAAATTGCAAATGATACCATAACCCAGCTGGTAGCAAACTCAGTGATAACTTATTGTTACTTGATTGAAATTTTACAAAAAGTATTTGGACTTTTTCTGCGTCTCCGTGGATACGCTATTAAATTTCGTTGCATCCATTGTCAATTTTTATGTGTATAGGATGCAGGAATTCACATCCCGTAAATCCCTGCACTCACTTACATTCATCCCAAAGTCAATTCAGTTTCTTTCCAAGTAATGATCCTTAATGACTTTCTTTTGCTGAATCATTATGAACCAGAATCATGGGTTTCAGCAAAGTGATAAACACCTGTCACTCTTTCTGCAGCTTTCTTCCCACTTCAACTGACACAACTGAAATACTACTCAATACACAGTTAATTTCATCACAATCCTTTGCATGTTGACTCTACATAACTAATGTAATTTGACAGTCAACACATCGGTACCTTAGCTTTAAAATGCTCCATATCTAACACAGAAATCTCAAGTCAGAAATCCAGCAGGACGTGAAAATAATGGTTGGTTGATTTCAGCTGATACAGAGCATTGAGGTGGTAGTAGGTGGTGCAAATTGCTACCTGTTCCTGTGGAGAACTTGATATTAACTCAATAACAACTATATTTACTACAATATGTAAATGCTTCAACTCAAACGAATGTCACATCCACTTCTTCTACACAATATAAGACCACAGTTCCTAAGATTCTAATACATGTATTAATAATTAATCTCAGGTATGTTGCTAAAAGCACAGATCACGGCAGTCTGGTATTTGTCATGTAAACACATGTAGGTATATTGACTGCTTGTTTAATATACAGGGATTAATAATTAGCAGGTGAGAATTCCTCAACATGTGTTCTGTTCCGGGCTGATGATTGTTTGATTTCTTGTGGAAAGCCATGGAAGCTGTTTGACCTATACAGAGTTGAATTATTGATCCTCATGGTTGAATTTCCAGTGAGATTCACCTGTAGGCATCGGAAGACAGCACAAAGGTACATTCTCTCTGACTTGACACAAGGTAGAATCTCACAAGGCATGTAGGATCTCATCAGGATCATACAGGTAGGATCCCGTCAAAATCATACAGGTATTTTCTCATAAGGATTACACAGGTATAATCTCATAAGGATTATACAGGTGGGATCTCATAAGGAATGCCCAGGTGGGATGTTATAAGGATTACACAGGTAGTATTTCATCGGGATAACACAGATTGGATCTCAGAAGATTAGACAGGTAGAATCTCATAAGGATTAGACTGGTAGGATCTCATCAGGATTAAACAGGTAGAATCTCATTAGGGTTACAAGGGTCGGGATCTCATAAGGATTACACAAGTAGAATCTGAAAAGGATTACACAAGTAGAATCTCATAAGGATTACAGGTGGGATCTTATAAGGTTTACATAGGTAGGACCTTGTCAGGATTACACAGATGGGATTTTATAAGGTTCACACAGGTGCAATCTCATAAGATTATACAGGTATGATTTCATAAGGATTACAGAGGTAGGATTTCATTGGGAATACACAGGTGGAATCTTAAAAGGATCACACAGGTAGGATCTCATAAGGATAACACAGGTAAGATTTCATAAGGATTTCAAAGATAGGATATCAAAAGAATTACAAAGGTAGGATCTCATGAGGATTACACATGTAGGATTTCATAAGGATTACACAGGTGGGATCTCATACAGATCACACAGGTAGGATTTGACTTGAGCAACATACATAAAAGTACCGGTGACTGTTAATCAAAGTTCACGAAAATTCTGTCACAGGCTAACATGTATGATAATGTTCTCTAGATACAAATTCATCCCCATCTTTAGAATTATTCATGTTTTTGCTTGTGGAAAAACATCGAAAAAAGACCTTTCCAAGAATTCTTTGTAGTTCATATTTGTACACAGTTACAAAAGTTTGCTTGAAGTCTCTGTCACAGGAATATCTTCACAATGCATTGTGCAAGGCTGTCATTTGGGGTGACATATTTTATGACAAAGGTTACCATCACATCATTCATCTGAGTGTAAAAACCAAACAACAGTTCCATCAATTACAGGTGTGGTCCAAAGGGTTTCATAAAGTATCCTAAACACATGATGATTAAGATTTACTAGCATTTTTCTGGTCCATCTGTATATCCTTTTGTCTTCGTACCACGATATGGCTGAGATATTGGCGATGTGACATTAAATAGTAACTCACTCACTCACTGTATATCCTTTACTGTCTGTACAATGATATGTAATCATATGCATACAATGCAGCTTGTATTCAGTAATATGAAAGGGAAGAAATTAAAAAAATAAGAAATGTGGTTTCAAGATAATGTATGCATAAATGATTAACAACCTTCTCCTTCATTCCTGAAAGATAACTGAGTGGTTATATAAACGAGTCACATCACAGATAAATTTAATCTGGTAACATCTCTTTACAAAACCACAGGTGGAATCTCATCCATTATACAGATGGCATATCTTCTGGATTACAGAAATAGCATCTCATTTGGATCACACTGGTCGAGATATATTTGGTGAGTCATATCTAATAATTTAACAGTAAATTGCACAATGTTGACAAAAGTACATTGGAACCACAATTGATGTCTGAGGAGCCATTCAGTGTCCTTGGTTTTTAATTAGAAATCCAATTATGAGCATTAATACTTTACAAACTGATGCCCTACTGTTATGAATCTGACTTCCAAAGCTGGGATGCCAACTGGTCTATTATATGCGAAAATTGCATTTGTCATTATCAAAAATGTCAAATCCTCATCACTGATAATGTTATCTGTCTTCAGCATTGTTCTCCTTGTCTAACTATACTAGTGTACAGTATACATCCCTGTGCACTTAAAAGAACCCACGAATCCGTTGGTATATGACCAGATGGTGGCCACATGAATACGTTCAAACACCTAGTTGCGGGTACACTTGGACAAAGTACTGTGACTATGCGTCCCAGTCCACCCAGCTGTGAATGGGTACCTCATTTGGATGAGAAAGCCACAATAACTCGGTGCGCCTAGTGGCAGCAAGAGTTGTATACTCCCCAGGGAGTTGAGATTGATAATACGATGTGCTGTTGAGATTGACATACAATGTGCTGTTGAGATTGACATACAATGATCGAGGGAAAAATACCAGCGCCTTGAGCATGCACCAGTTGCGTGGATATGTGCGCTATATAAATATACTATAATAATAACTGGCTGTTGTCAGGTTTCTTATGCATTCATTCATAGAAGTGAGTGAGCGGCGCTCTGTAAATAATCGAGTCTGGACCAGATGTATCGTGATACATATCAAATTGTGACATGGGTATCGCCATATGTATAGATTCATGAAACTTATGCATCGTGACATCCCTACAATCCAGTGATCAACAGCATGAGCATCGATCTGCGCAACTGGGAACCGATGACATGTGTCAACCAAGTCAGTGAGCCTGACCACCCGATACCGTTAGTCGCCTCTTACGACAAGCATGGGTTACTGAAGATCAATATTCTAACCCCGGACCTTCACGGGTATCATTCATAGGAAACTGCAGTAGAAAACATACAAAAATTTAATAAAATACGAATATCAGTGAATAAAAAATGACACTACTGCCAGTACAATTCTCATGGTTAAATTTAAAACTTTATGTGTTAACATATTTTATTCACATGAAGGGAATGGGACAGTATTTTATAACAGATGTCCACACCTTGTATTAAAAATACCATCATCTGCAACTTTGTAAAACATACAGAGGAAACAGAGACAGGAAATGATGTATAGAGTGAAACCTAATCTGGACTATATTTTTCCCTGGGAAAATTGTCCACAATAAGAAATGTTATGGACACCTTCCTGCTCCCTGAGTAATGTCTTTTGAGTATGATACAGACCTCCACAATAACAGCTTCATACAAGTATATTTAGCATTATTGATAAATTGATAAAGTTTCACTGTATACATTTTCCTCACTCAAATATGTCTTTTTAAAAAACAATTTTTTTGAAAATGAAACATATTGGATAATCTAAAGACTAAAAACATGTCCCCAGCAACCTGTAAGCTTTAAAGGAAGGAGCATTTAGGTGCAATATTATTGATTCAAGATACTGGTTTTGAATGAAGACATAAACTGACAAGAATTGATTGTTTTGGTAACAGGCTATGGATTAGCAGTCTGAGAAAGCAGAATTTTGTTCAGCTGATTATGACAATGTTCTCGTCAAAAGCCCAGAAATCTGATCCAAACTGACACTGTTAAACATAGACATCGTAAAGGAACGTAACTGTTACGTCAATCATAATTGAAAACAAATATCATAGGCATCATGACTGAAGAGTAAACAGATTGAAATGTGGTAATGACTGACAGCTTTATTCTCCAACTGACAGGTGTATATATCACAGCGGAATGAAATGTACATCAACCAGTGTATGACTTCTCATGGTGACACCAGCATACACCCTCCGGCTATAGAGTCGCAACTGTTTTATCATTATCTTCAGGAAATATTGCACTCACAAAAATCTGATCATTTGTGTTTCTGTGGGAATGTGTTTTCTCTCTCTAATTTGATACAATAACTTGGAACATACAAGGCCTCATTGTGGATAAAGGACAACTGGATCATTATATACCCAATGGCTGGTCTTGTTATTCTTACAGACCTTCTACAGTACATGATTTTCCAGATTTGTCAAACGTGAGTAATTGGTTCAGAATGCAACATGGTCACACCTAAGTTTTAAAAAGCATTTCTTTTTCAGATTAAGTTTTGAAAAAAGTAACCCAATTGGTAAATCTGAGGAAAGATGGCAAAAGATTTAAAAAGCATTTCTTTTTTAGATTAATTTTTGAAAAAAGTAATTGGTAAATTTGACTAAATATGGGAAAAGCTTCATTCAGCTACCTTGTTCAGCCTTCTCATATATAAAGCTTTCAGCTCTGATACAATGAAAAATTGCAGCGATCCCATAAAATACAAAATAAGCAATTTCAAGATTCCACAGAATGAACCAAAGGACATGAAATACTATTGTAGTCAGTGGTGGGTGCAATCCTGTCACCTCATAGTTACATAAATCATATTCTAACCCGCTGCATGCTAATTTTCAAATCTGACGCATGCAAATTACATTCTTTCAAAATATTAACAAATCCCTATTGTTAAATTTCCTGCACAGCTTGATCCACACCACACCCCAATTTGCAATAATTGGCTATCGTAATTGGGAGGTATTTTTTGTTTCCCAGACCCTTGTGATCGGTCAAGTGGATTAATGGCGTCCCTCATCATCGCATGACAGCATTTTGCATAACACCCCACCCTACTCCATTCTGCACCAGCCTCCGGACAAGGTGGTGGCGATGTCGTTGAAGTCTTCAGCATCTGAGGGAAGAAACTGATTTGAAGACGCCAGTGACATTTGACAGTGTTGCCTCCTTATTGCTCCTGAGCACTACCGCGTTCAGTGACCAGGATATATAGTGCTTATGTTACCATCTGACATCCCACTGGAGATACACTTTCTGAATCAAGAAGGCCTACACTTGATTGAAAAATGACTTCGCCATGCAGTGCAAAGAGTTTGATGTTTCTAGTGATGTTGATTACCTGGACAAGGCAAGTGGATGGTAAGTGAATCTTCCCTCAGATATATTTCTTATTTAGTTGATAATCAATTGGTATATTCTTTGAAACTGATGAATCATGTCCACAAATATTGCCAATTCCTGGATGTGCATCTGACTGGTTTGAATTTTAAGTCATAAAATGTATGACATTAATGCTATATTTGCACACACAAACATATATATGCTCTACACTTTGATATACATGTAAATTTTATCATCCATGAGATACCAAATTTGAAAGTATTTGTTTATAGTAATGTCACTTTGTGCAGTGTTCACATACAGCAATATTGTAGCTATATGCACACATGATCAATTTAACAACACTTTGCCATAGTTTTAGCATAATGTAGCAGGGAATCAAACACCAATCACTGCTCTCCAGGTAGACACTCTACCCACAACACTTATAGTGATAGTTGTATTTGATGTTTCTGCTATAACTAACATATGACTACAGTACTTACCTTTGTACCTGTTGAATAAGACCATATTAGAAAACATAAAATACACAACATACTTAAACTATTTGTTAGATATTTTATAATTCCAATATCCTGAGTTCAAATCTAAAGTTGAAGGTCAAGGAAATTAATCCCAAGCCTTAAGTGAAATAGTAAAGATTTAGCAAGTCCATAGATCGAAAGGAGACAGCTGTTAACCTCAGCTAATTAATGTTAAACAGTGTTGAACATGATGAACTGTTGTATATTGGAAGGGAACAGAAAGGTTCTCTTTCAACAAAAACAAATTTACATTCACAGAATTTACATTTGCAACTGAAGACTATAGGTAAGTCAAAGAGTAGCAGCAAGTGATAATACTAGATCAGTCTGCAGCACAGTAAACATGTTTGTCTAATCTGGGCATCATGTTTTATTCATGCACCTAATCAGCAATAAGACTCCACTACCACGGTGCTTGACTCCAGGGTAGATAGCAGAGACATTCCACCTTCAGGATCATGCAGAGATACAGTGGACTACAATGGTTGTCTATACACTAAAGCTTAGTCTCTGAATAATTTTGATAGAAACAAATATACTGAGGGAAACAAATAAGGGAACACCACTTCATAGCAGTGTTCCTTTATTTATTTTCAGATTTCCTCCCACAGAGCTTTTCAAAGCTGGTGATGAAAACTGGAAAATATTAAAGGAATTCTTGAATTTTCCTGTGTTCTTTTATCTGTTTCTCTCAGTATAATTCCATTTAAGTAGAAAGAAGCCCCAGTGGGATTGGAGATTGAGGACAATCTGGACTCGTCATTTTGGGCTTTGGCATTGCAGAAAGGACTATCAGAAGGGAACATAATGTGGTTCAGGGACTTTGAGAACACTATTGTTGTCAAGGGAACATAGTCAGTACAAGATGATTCTTAAAGGTTTACCGATAACTGTGAATGAAATATGCATATGACATTTAACCTTCACTGTCTGATTCATGCTGTGTTTTCTGATCATATATATTTCATGCTTACATACACAACAGGAAATTACTGAATATCACAAGTTTCAGTATGGTCACATGTAATTTATGCACATCACATTTCATTCTGTCATTAGCTATGAAAACAGAAGAATGTGTTTCTAATGAAGAAAAAGCAAACTTTATTCTTGTATTTGTAGCCCTAAATTTCTTGAGACCGCCTCCGTGGTGTAGTGGTTAGAGCGTCCGCCCGGAGAGTGGAAGGTCGCTGGTTTGATCCCCAACCACGTCATACCAAAAGACGTTAAAATATGGTACTTGTTGGTCCCTGCCTGGCGCTCGGCATGATGGGTACAACAAGGACTGGTCGGCTCGGAGTCAGTATAATGTGTCTGAGTGGGGTATTCATGCTTCACTGCGGCATGGTATCTCAGTGGGCTAGCACTATAAAACCAGCTTTAGTCTGGGCTAGTACAAGCAGCCGCACATACACATACACACGCATGCACGTCGTCATATGAGCGAAATATTCTCAAGCACGACGTTAAACCCAATTCCACCACCACCACCACCAGAATGTGGAGTCTAAGGCAGATTACGTTAGTTCTGTTCAGTCTGATAATGGGAATGGTGGAGTAGCCAAATTAATGGTTAAAGCGTCAGCACATTTGACTGAAGATCAGGGTTCAATCACCCACATTGTGTGATATTACTTGAATACTACTGGAAGATGTGTATAACTATGCTCATTAAATTAGTTGAGCTGTTGGGTCAAATGGACATTTAGGTGTCCCAGGGTTGGACTGACTGACTGAGTTTAGTTTTACGCCGCTTTTAGCAATATTCCAGCAATATCACGGCGGGGGACACCAGAACCCAGGGTTGGAAATAACTTTAAAATTGCTAGTGTACTCCTGTACAGTGGCTTAGTAAAATCACTTGCCCTGATAAGTTTTCCACTATACCGTCCGTGTTCTTGTTGGTTTTTTAAATAAACAACATTATTAACATTGGAAAGTCAACTGGACACCGGTACAGCATGATATACAAATTTGCTTGCCCGATGGAAAAAAACACTGGACTCCGACGTTGGGCAATGGGTTATTTCCACCCCTGTGTCCAACCTAAAATCAGGAAAATCATCTACCCCACAAATATTACTATAAGAAATATAACAGCTGCTGAAATTATGAAACTATCAATCTCCTTGATGCATGTTTTGAAAGAGTCAAACAATGGTCAAATCATATCATTATACTGAAAAGGAAGACATTTTATGTTCTGAATAATTCACTAGCTGATACTTCTTAGTGAACCCTGAAAAGATTACAGAATTTAATTTTAAAAGGAGTTAAAGTCATGACGAGAATAGATTAGGCAAGTCAAGAGCACCTCAGCTCCTAAAATAAGTAATTGGTTTGGCTCCTTTTTGATTTTATGTATAATTTTGCAGAAATATATTTTCAAATGAGCGACCTGTATTTCTGGGACAAAACACAGTCACCTTCTCATCAGTACACTAGCAAGTGGTGTATATTATACATGCATAACTCCTGTGTAAAAGGGCTATACAGTGAATAATAAATTATTGTAACAATTTTAATACAATGAAAATCAGTCTCTAAATTGCCTTAATTCTTATTCAGAACAGTCATAAATGTCCAATTTGATACGCTCAACAATCCAGCAGAATTTGATATGAAAGGACGCTGTCAACTTCCCTTAGACTGCAGCGTTAACAGTGAACAGAAGGTGTATCTGTTCTCATGCAGCATACCAAGGTTTATCTCTCAGCATCTTTCAAGGAGCAACAAAAACTCACACTGGAGTAAAAGCAACAAATGCCTTTCCATATCCATAAGGAATGCCTGCTGAAAGCAGACCATATAACTGCAAATGTGTCATAGGCATGTGCTTTTGAATCACTATTAAAAAGTGCTGATACCAGGGGACGTTTTCACAAAGCGATCGTAGTGCTACGATTGTCAATGTTAAGGCATTGGAGTTACAATCACCTTATCGCCATGGCAGATACAGCTTTTCGAGAAACGGGGGGTGGGGGGGTGTGGGGTGTGTGTGTGCACAAATCATTTTCACCTGTTTTCCCGAGAGTTTCAATGGTAATTTAATAAACTTTCAGGACAAAAGGGAGCTGCGCACCCCTGCACCCCCCCTTTGGAACTGCCTATGAGCGCTATGATCGCTTTATGAAACGAGGCGCAGGTGTTTCCTAAAAGTGAGAGAATCCATGCCCTACCAGTTGCACCCATCATAAACACGTGCAAAGACATGTCAACTGTTCCCAGACAAAATATGGTACAAGTTAAAATTGAGATACCACTTTTGTCAGAGATGTGTCAAATTGGGAATCATCCTTCACATCTACTACAGAGCTTTTTGTAAGCTTTACAGTGAGTGAGTGAGTTTAGGTTTATGCCGCTTTTAGCAATATTCCACAATATCACAGCGGGGGACACCAGAAATCGGCTTCACACATTGCACCCATGCAGGAATCAAACCCGGGTCTTCGGCATGACAAGCGAATGCTTTAACCTCTGGCTATCCTACCACCCCGAAAACTCTACAGCATCCTTGAATGTGGTAACAGTGATCAAACAACTATAAACACACACTAACCACCAGAAATGGATGTGACAAATGTGTTGAAACTTGCAACCATAATCTCTGTGTAAACCAGACTATAAATACCACCTGCATGTGTAAAACAGACAGCATTAAACATTAATTGGCTCTTCATATTGAAGATGGTGTACAGATGAAGTCAATGCTACAATTCCCTTCGGCTGGTTTGTGACAATGAAAAGTCAGCAGAGTGGAACTAATGCCTGTAGTCTAGATAATAACTTTGTAAATAGTTAATCATCATATTGAACAAAAGCTCTTCTTTGGATTGAGCATATGACAAATATTATGACTCATACTTGTTGTGTCTAAAGGATTTCTATTACAAATTGTACTCATAATATATGAACAATATTCAGTTCTTCAAATCACACATATGCTTTGACAACTGACAAACTGCTTATAAATAAGCATATTTTTAGTAAAATCCAGAATTCATTTTCTCCATTTTGCATGATTTAAATCAAGCTCATCTGTGAAGCAATGGCATTATTACTGGCCTTAGAATTTTTGGGGGGAGAAAAGTATTTTATCATCCTATGGTGTTGTGCTGACTTGTAGCGTGATACAGGGAATTATAGCAAATAATTAATTGCAATCAACAAGAGAAGCTAAAACATGTCCAGCAAAACCTGATACACCAAAAGACAGTAATTGAGAAGTTAGATCAAACAAAGTGTATTCAGGGGAGACATTCTACTATAACTTTCTTTCTCAGATTTTAGAAGCATCAAAATGTATCATATCAGTGATCTTGTCCTCACAATGACTAAGTCTAAGGCTGACATGATATACGTCATGCTTTCCAAGGTTCAATTAGGAAATTGATTTCTTGTTTTCAATCAATGAATCATTTTTTTCTCTGATTTTCTGTGATCAATTATTCTCCAATTAAATTACTTATTTTAATGAATTCAAGGGAGACAAACATATTGAGCATTAAAGACATATACAAGTCTAAAGTTTCAATGTGAAGACATCACAAGCTCTATTTAGGTGTTATTATAATAATCATACACAGCAGTTGTATGTATTGCTAATGACAGTAAGGCTACAGTAAAACTAAAAGAATGCTTCAGTGGTGGGATGTTTCTATTCTTATTCATGATCAAACATTAATGGACCATTGATTATTTTTTATCTACAGTCGGCCATGCCTGTAGTAAGAGGCAACTAACGGAATCAGGTTGTCAGGCTTTCTGACATTGTTGTTGCATAGTGTTGCATACCATTTGCAGAGATTGATGCTCAAGTGGCAATCAATGGATTGTCTGGTTCAGAGTTGATTTCACACAGATTACTGTAATATTTAGTGTGGCTTTTAACAAAAAACAAATGAAATGTAATCACTTCCAATAACTAGAGTATGACTTTTTCCTAATTGACAGGTGTAGTTCCTCTCCAGGAAGACTAAAGATTATATCCTTGTTATATGTTCATAACTATAATCTGTTCATTTTATACCTCATAGTCTCTTAGGTTATCAATCATAAATTGATAATGCAGTAATACCAGATGTTTGATACGAATATTTGCAAGCAAATCTTGAGGGATATGATTATTTCATGAGAGAATGAAGTCAAAATTAATACAATCATTAGATGTTAGTCCTCATTCACGAAAATACTATACATCAGATTAATATCTTCTGATTTTCCCTAAACAACATTATCAATGATAAAAATAGTTATTTTTGTTGCCTTCCTTATTTTATTTTACATCAGTCAAACGCTGAGTGAGTGAGTGAGTAAGTGAGGTTTTTAATAGCAATATTCCAGCAATATCATGGTGAGGGATGCCAAAAATGGGCTTCACACATTGTATCCATGTGGGGAATCGAACCCGGGTCTTTGTCATGGCAGCGAATGCTTTAAACACAAGGCTACCCCACTACCCTACACAAAGGAGGTAAACATCTGTACTTATGTAACACCCTGTTTGAGAACTGATTAAACATATGGATCCTTTAAGTATGTTCACTAACTTGTCCTCCTGTTGCAGGTCAAGGCTGTCCAGCAGCAGCAGCTCCAGGTATGTACCGGTACACACTGTCATCTGTACCACACAGAATTGTTACATTGATAGATACTGCAGGGATTTACAGGACTCAAATTTGTGTGTCCTATACACATAAAAATTGACAATGGATGCAACAAAATTTATTAGCGCGTCCACAGGGACAAATTTCAATCAAGTGACAATAAGTTATCACTGAATTTGCTACTAGCTGGGTTATGATATTTGTTTACAATTTAATTACTGTAACAATGTGATCATGATACACAATATAATAATAGTATTCATGATAATATTTAAGTGTCTGGGACTCCCATTTTGTTGTCCAGGACCCCTGAAAATTAAGAGTACAGAGCTCCAGATAAGATTTAGCTAATGTGGGTACTGTGCCCACTGTATTTCTTTGGAGTGGGTATTATGAATGTTGAGTGGGTATTTCATTTTCCGTTACCCACTGCTTTCAAATATGTGTGTATTTCAGTCATTTTACTCACCTAAGTATTGTGTCATGGAGTAAGTTTACTAAGCAGGTATGTTCTGCCTTATGTCATACCTAATCCAAACCAACCTAAATATAAGGAAAATGATTTCATAAAACTTCACAAATCCTATATAATACTGACAGTACAACACTTGTCCTATACTAACAGTACAACTTGATAGCAATCGATGTCTTTTTCATTACGCAAGCTACTTTTATAAGTATATTCCGTACGCATTTGTTTTAAACTCTTTGCGAATCTAACAGTTTAAATGCGTAATGCTGGCATAATCAATGGATTCACATTCACCAGACACTACCACAATCAATGGGTTCACAATCATCAGACACTGGCACAATCAATGGATTCACACTCATCAGACACTGGCACAATTGATGGGTTCACAATCATCAAACACTGCCACAATCAATGGGTTCACAATCATCAGATGCTGGCACAATCCATGGGTTCACAATCACAAGATGCTGGCACAATCAATGGGTTCACAATCATCAGACACTGGCACAATCAATGGGTTCACAATCATCAGACACTGCCACAATCAATGGGTTCACAATCATCAGACACTGGCACAATCAATGGGTTCACAATCGCCAAGTGCTGGCACAATCAATGGGTTCACAATCATCAGATGCTGGCATAATCAATAGGTTCACAATCACCAGACACTGGCACAATCAATGGGTTCACAATCACCAGATGCTGGCACAATCACTGGGTTCACAATCATCAGATGCTAGCATAATCAATGGGTTCACAATCACCAGACACTGGCACAATCAATGGGTTCACAATCACCAGACACTGGCACAATCAATGGGTTCAAAATCACAAGACACTGGCACAATTGATCGGTTTCACAGTCAGCAAACAATGGCACAATCAACCGGTTTCACAATCAGCAGACACTCTCACAATCAACCGGTTTCACAATCAGCAGACACTGTCACAATCAACCGGTTTCACACTCAGCAGACATTGGAACAATCAATGGGTTCACAATCACCAGATGCTGGCACAATCACCAGATGCTGACACAATCAATGGGTTCACAATCGTCAGATGCTGGCACAATCAATGGGTTCACAATCATCAGATGCTGGCACAATCAATGGGTTCACAATCATCAGATGCTGGCACAGTCAATGGGTTCACAATCACCAGACACTGGCACAATCAATGGGTTCACAATCACCAGATGCTGGCACAATCAATGGGTTCACAATCACCAGATGCTGGCACAATCAATGGGTTCACAATCATCAGATGCTGGCACAATCAATGGGTTCACAATCATCAAATGCTGGCATAATCAATGGGTTCACAATCACCAGACACTGGCACAATCAATGGGTTCACAATCACCAGACACTGGCACAATCAATGGGTTCAAAATCACAAGACACTGGCACAATTGATGGGTTTCACAGTCAGCAAACAATGGCACAATCAACAGGTTTCACAATCAGCAGACACTCTCACAATCAACCGCTTTCACAATCAGCAGACACTGTCACAATCAACCGGTTTCACACTCAGCAGACATTGGAACAATCAATGGGTTCACAATCACTAGATGCTGGCACAGTCAATGGGTTCACAATCGTCAGATGCTATCACAATCAATGGGTTCACAATCATCAGATGCTGGCACAGTCAATGGGTTCACAATCATCAGATGCTGGCATAATCAATGGGTTCACAATCACCAGATGCTGGCACAATCACTGGGTTCACAATCACCAGACACTGGCACAACCAATGGGTTCACAATCAGCAGATGCTGGCACAATCAATGGGTTCACAATCATCAGATGCTGGCACAATCAATGGGTTCACAATCACCAGATGCTGGCACAATCAATGGGTTCACAATCACCAGATGCTGGCACAATCAATGGGTTCACAATCACCAGACACTGGCACAATCAATGGGTTCACAATCATCAGATGCTGGCACTATCAATGGGTTCACAATCATCAGATCCTGGCACATTCAATGGGTTCACAATCACCAGACACTGGCACAATCAATGGGTTCACAATCACCAGATGCTGGCACAATCAATGGGTTCACAATCACCAGATGCTGGCACAATCAATGGGTTCACAATCACTAGACACTGGCACAATCAATGGGTTCACAATCACCAGACACTGGCACAATCAATGGGTTCACAATCACCAGACACTGGCACAATCAATGGGTTCACAATCATCAGATGCTGGCACTATCAATGGGTTCACAATCATCAGATCCTGGCACATTCAATGGGTTCACAATCACCAGACACTGGCACAATCAATGGGTTCACAATCACCAGATGCTGGCACAATCAATGGGTTCACAATCACCAGATGCTGGCACAATCAATGGGTTCACAATCACTAGACACTGGCACAATCAATGGGTTCACAATCACCAGACACTGGCACAATCAATGGGTTCAAAATCACCAGACACTGGCACAATTGATGGGTTTCACAGTCAGCAAACAATGGCACAATCAACAGGTTTCACAATCAGCAGACACTCTCACAATCAACCGGTTTCACAACCAGAAGACACTGTCACAATCAACCGGTTTCACACTCAGCAGACATTGGAACAATCAATGGGTTCACAATCACCAGATGCTGGCACAGTCAATGGGTTCACAATCACCAGATGCTGGCACAATCAATGGGTTCACAATCACCAGACACTGGCACAATCAATGCGTTCACAATCACCAGACACTGGCACAATCAATGGGTTCAAAATCACCAGACACTGGCACAATTGATCGGTTTCACAGTCAGCAAACAATGGCACAATCAACCGGTTTCACAATCAGCAGACACTCTCACAATCAACCGGTTTCACAATCAGCAGACACTGTCACAATCAACCGGTTTCACACTCAGCAGACATTGGAACAATCAATGGGTTCACAATCACCAGATGCTGGCACAATCACAAGATGCTGGAACAATCAATGGGTTCACAATCGTCAGATGCTGGCACAATCAATGGGTTCACAATCATCAGATGCTGGCACAATCAATGGGTTCACAATCATCAGATGCTGGCACAGTCAATGGGTTCACAATCACCAGACACTGGCACAATCAATGGGTTCACAATCACCAGATGCTGGCACAATCAATGGGTTCACAATCACCAGATGCTGGCACAATCAATGGGTTCACAATCATCAGATGCTGGCACAATCAATGGGTTCACAATCATCAGATGCTGGCATAATCAATGGGTTCACAATCACCAGACACTGGCACAATCAATGGGTTCACAATCACCAGACACTGGCACAATCAATGGGTTCACAATCACAAGACACTGGCACAATTGATCGGTTTCACAGTCAGCACACAATGGCACAATCAACCGGTTTCACAATCAGAAGACACTCTCACAATCAACCGGTTTCACAATCAGGAGACACTGTCACAATCAACCGGTTTCACACTCAGCAGACATTGGAACAATCAATGGGTTCACAATCACCAGATGCTCGCACAGTCAATGGGTTCACAATCGTCAGATGCTATCACAATCAATGGGTTCACAATCATCAGATGCTGGCACAGTCAATGGGTTCACAATCATCAGATGCTGGCATAATCAACGGGTTCACAATCACCAGATGCTGGCACAATCAATGGGTTCACAATCACCAGATGCTGGCACAATCAATGGGTTCACAATCACCAGATGCTGGCACATTCAATGGGTTCACAATCACCAGATGCTGGCACGATCAATGGGTTCACAATCATCAGATGCTGGCATAATTAATAGGTTCACAATCATCAGACGCTGGCACAATCAATGGGTTCACAATCACCAGACACTGGCACAATCAATGGGTTCTCAATCATCAGATGCTGGCACAATCAATGGGATCACAATCATCAGATGCTGGCACAATCAATGGGTTCACAATCACCAGATGCTGACACAATCAATGGGTTCACAATCACCAGACACTGACACAATCACTGGGTTCACAATCACCAGACACTGGCACAATCAATGGGTTCACAATCAGCAGATGCTGGCACAATCAATGGGTTCACAATCACCAGATGCTGGCACAATCCATGGGTTCACAATCACCAGATGCTGGCACAATCAATGGGTTCACAATCATCAGATGCTGGCATAATCAATGGGTTCACAATCACCAGACACTGGCACAATCAATGGGTTCACAATCACCAGACACTGGCACAATCAATGGGTTCACAATCAGCAGACACTGGCACAATTGATCGGTTTCACAGTCAGCAAACAATGGCACAATCAACAGGTTTCACAATCAGCAGACACTCTCACAATCAACCGGTTTCACAATCAGGAGACACTGTCACAATCAACCGGTTTCACACTCAGCAGACATTGGAACAATCAATGGGTTCACAATCACCAGATGCTGGCACAGTCAATGGGTTCACAATCACCAGATGCTGGCACAATCAATGGGTTCACAATCACCAGACACTGGCACAATCAATGGGTTCACAATCACCAGACACTGGCACAATCAATGGGTTCACAATCACCAGACACTGCCACAATCAATGGGTTCACAATCATCAGATGCTGGCACTATCAATGGGTTCACAATCATCAGATCCTGGCACATTCAATGGGTTCACAATCACCAGACACTGGCACAATCAATGGGTTCACAATCACCAGATGCTGGCACAATCAATGGGTTCACAATCACCAGATGCTGGCACAATCAATGGGTTCACAATCACCAGATGCTGGCACAATCAATGGGTTCACAATCACCAGACACTGGCACAATCAATGGGTTCACAATCACCAGACACTGGCACAATTGATCGGTTTCACAGTCAGCAAACAATGGCACAATCAACAGGTTTCACAATCAGCAGACACTCTCACAATCAACCGGTTTCACAATCAGGAGACACAATCACAATCAACCGGTTTCACACTCAGCAGACATTGGAACAATCAATGGGTTCACAATCACCAGATGCTGGCACAGTCAATGGGTTCACAATCACCAGATGCTGGCACAATCAATGGGTTCACAATCACCAGACACTGGCACAATCAATGGGTTCACAATCACCAGACACTCGCACAATCAATGGGTTCAAAATCACCAGACACTGGCACAATCAATGGGTTCACAATCATCAGATGCTGGCACTATCAATGGGTTCACAATCATCAGATCCTGGCACATTCAATGGGTTCACAATCACCAGACACTGGCACAATCAATGGGTTCACAATCACCAGATGCTGGCACAATCAATGGGTTCACAATCACTAGATGCTGGCACAATCAATGGGTTCACAATCACCAGACACTGGCACAATCAATGGGTTCACAATCACCAGACACTGGCACAATCAATGGGTTCAAAATCACCAGACACTGGCACAATTGATCGGTTTCACAGTCAGCAAACAATGGCACAATCAACAGGTTTCACAATCAGCAGACACTCTCACAAGCAACCGGTTTCACAATCAGGAGACACTGTCACAATCAACCAGTTTCACACTCAGCAGACATTGGAACAATCAACGGGTTCACAATCACCAGATGCTGGCACATCATCAGCAGGCACAATCAATGGGTTCACAATCATCAGAACAATCAATGGGTTCACAATCATCAGATGCTGGCACAATCAATGGGCAGACACTGTCACAATCAACCAGTTTCACACTCAGCAGACATTGGAACAATCAACGGGTTCACATTCAGCAGACACTCTCACAATCAACCGGTTTCACAATCAGCAGACACTGTCACAATCAACCAGTTTCCAACTCAGCAGACATTGGAACAATCAACGGGTTCACATTCAGTACACATGGTTCCAATCAATGGGTTCGAAATAAGCATACATGGGTACAATCAACACGTTTCACCATCAGCAGGCATTGGAACAATCAACAGGTTCACATTCAGCAGACACAATCAACATGCTTCAAAATCAACAGATACAGGCACAATTCAAGGGACTCACAAACAGAAGACAGTGATACAAGTTAGGGGAAGCGTATTTATTGTGGCACTTTAGACCCCCAAATCATATAAAAGTACACCATATCCAATCCTACCAAAGGTACATTCAACATATGAACCACCCCTGAGTACAGTTAATGTGCACACATACCTTGAACAGTGTCACAGTTTGTATAACAAACATAAACACACCTCAACATTTCTTTATTTGGATGATGTAATTATTTATCTACTGTGGCACCTACTTCCTCATCTGATAAGCTCAATTCAAAAGATCTTCAGAATTGCAGACTTTCTGTTGCTTATTTTGTAATATCAGTGCACACATTCCTCTACATAAATACATGAATCTGAATATACATTTTACACTCACTGTCTGAATATGTATATACACAACAAACAACATATTTCCTCTATATTTTACAATAACAATAATATCTGATTTTACCAAAAATCTACATTTAACTGTATTCATGTAACAAAATCTTGCCGTTATCAGTACAGTTGACAAAAAATATGAAATTAACCCTAAAATTAATAAACAGCGCTTGTCTTAAAATCTTTTATGGTAATTTTTCAGTTACAACAACCTGACAATTTCAACCTTTATTTTCTGAACTAGTATTTTGACTGTCCATCCTCGACAGGTTTTACTCTTCAAAATTGGGTTCGTCATGATATGGCTGAGATATTGCCGACGTGACGTTAAATATTCACTCACTCACTCACTTATTTTCTGAATGCCATATCTACTAAGCACTTGGTAATCAAATTATACATTCACACCTCCACAAGTTCAAGACCACTGATACAAAACACTGTCTATAACACTATAGCTAGATCCATTGTTGTGTATCATAAGATATTAATAGCACAACATCAGTGTCAGAATACATTAAGAGAGTATTTACCTTGATTAAACAATATAACACTATGTGTATAATCGCAAATTGTATGGACATTAATATTCAATAAATGCCATTTTGTTAATAGAAATTTCAGATACAGGTTGTTTTCTTTGTAACAAGGACACAGGTGTATTGACCAAATATTGATGATTTAAAGTACATTATGATGCTGTGAAACCAATCTCTCTCACATCAGCACCTCACTGATAGCTGATACTGGAACACTAATCTACACAGCTTACTCAGCTCTCATCTATCTATGGCTTAGAATTACTCTTGAGCAACCCATGTTTGTAGTAAGAGATGGCTAATGGGGTTGGGTGGTCAGGCTCGCTGACTTGGTTGACACATGTCATCATATCCCAAGATCGATGCGCATGCTGTTGATCACTGGATTGTATGGCCCAGACTTGATTATTTACAGCCTGCTGCTATACAGCTGGAATATTCAGCAAGGAGGTCAAAGCTTACAAAAAAACTAAAGTCACTCACTCATTGCCTGGAAACCTTAGCTGTAAACATGTGTCTAAGGAGATGATATCAGTAGAAAAATATTCATTAATCAGCAATTAGGTCAAAGCTTACAAAAACAATATCTCCTAGGAGATATTACTTGATCTTCTACAAGCAATATCTCAATCCTCTGGAAACCAGTACTGGATGATAAACTATGTTGTACTTCTGCACATAATAATGTTAGAGGTCGATTCTCATGTTGAAAGAATAAGTCATGCTGGAACATGGTCAAGCTTCCTTAATAGGCCTGGACTGGGAATATTGGGTGGATCTTGACACAGCTGCAGGTCTTCTTGATTGATTGATTGCTTGTTGTTGTTTAATGCAATATTCCAGCTATATATCAGCGGTTTGTAAATAATCAAGTCTGGACCCAACAATCCCATAGAGATGCCACAATACATCGATACATCAATGCATCGATACTTTTTCTAAGACGATACAATTATCGATAAAAAAACCTGGATCGATATTTAGTTTTGAGTTTTGAAAGTATCGGTTTAAATATGATTATGTATTGTTTACATTTTGCAATTGTATCATGTTTTTTGATGTAATGAATGATTATTTTTTATGCACAAAGATGGGAAATTAGAACTTTTTAATCTCTGAGAATAAAAAATGTTGATCTTTTCATGAAAAATTATAAAATATGAAATATTAATGTTCAAAATGTAACTGCATTTACGCAATAATGCCACGAAAAAAGGTATTGTGATGCGTATCCAATCGTGACATGGGTATTGTGATACATGTAGATTTATGAAACTTATGCATCGTGACATCCCTACAATCCAGTGATCAACAGCATGCACATCGATCTACACAATTAGGGTACGATGACGTGTTGACCAAGTCAGCGAGTCTGACCAGCCGATCCCTTTAGTCACCTCTTACGACAAGCATGGGTTACTGAAGATCATTTTAACCCGGATCTTCACAGGTGGTAAAAGTGAAGTGACACCAGCCAACATCAAGAAATAACTTGTACTAAGTTTCACACACTTATGTTAAAAGGTACAATTGTTACACAAGTCTTAAGGGCTAAATGTTTTTGGTTTTGTTCTTACGTAATTTCTGTGCTATGTTTCCTACAGTTGCAGACATGTGTTCTGGGGATTTTGTCAGCGGAGCCAGAGTATTTATCGACACATCCAGCGTATTGCTCCAACATCTTAACTGCTCCTGTTTTCTGCAAACAACGGCAGATTCTCTGAGTGTTATTCTCATCTCAGCTCCCAACTATCAAAATTGCCTGTCCAGGCTTGAGTTCAGGTCATCTAATCTTGTGCGATTTGAATGCCTGTTTTCGGGGATAACAATTGATGTTTCTGCAAAGAAGAGTTTTGACATCGACTTCAAGAAAGATGTGCCGAATGCTAGTAATAACTACTGTGTGGACATCAAAGCGAATCCTTCACCTGGAGGTGAGTGATTATATCTTAGTGACAGACTAGTATCTACTTCCTTAATCAGGTGAGTAATCATGTCTTAGTGAAAGACTAGTATCTACTTCCTTAATCAGGTGAGTGATCATATCTTAGTGAAAGACTAGTATCTACTTCCTTAATCAGGTGAGTGATTATGTCTTAGTGAAAGACTAGTATCTACTTCCTTCATGGTGAGTGATTATATCTTAGTGAAAGACTAGTATCTACTTCCTTACTGGTGAGTGATCATGTCTTAGTGAAAGACTAGTATCTACTTCCTTACTGGTGAGTGATTATATCTTAGTGAAAGACTAGTATCTACTTCCTTACTGGTGAGTGATCATGTCTTAGTGAAAGACTGTCACCTACTTCCTTAAAGGTGAGTGATCATATCTTAGTGAAAGACTAGTATCTACTTCCTTAATGGTGAGTGATCATATCTTAGTGAAAGACTAGTATCTACTTCCTTAATCAGGTGAGTGATTATGTCTTAGTGAAAGACTAGTATCTACTTCCTTCATGGTGAGTGATTATATCTTAGTGAAAGACTAGTATCTACTTCCTTACTGGTGAGTGATCATGTCTTAGTGAAAGACTGTCACCTACTTCTTTAATGGTGAGTGATCATGTCTTAGTGAAAGACTAGTATCTACTTCCTTAATGGTGAGTGATTATATCTTAGTGAAAGACTAGTATCTACTTCCTTAATGGTGAGTGATCATGTCTTAGTGAAAGACTAGTATCTACTTCCTTAATGGTGAGTGATTATATCTTAGTGAAGACTAGTATCTACTTCCTTAATGGTGAGTGATCATGTCTTAGTGAAAGACTAGTATCTACTTCCTGAATGGTGAGTGATCATATCTTAGTGAAAGACTAGTATCTACTTCCTTAATGGTGAGTGATCATGTCTTAGTGAAAGACTAGTATCTACTTCCTTAATGGTGAGTGATTATATCTTAGTGAAAGACTAGTATCTACTTCCTTAATGGTGAGTGATCATGTCTTAGTGAAAGACTAGTATCTACTTCCTTAATGGTGAGTGATCATGTCTTAGTGAAAGACTAGTATCTACTTCCTTAATGGTGAGTGATCATGTCTTAGTGAAAGACTAGTATCTACTTCCTTAATGGTGAGTGATTATATCTTAGTGAAAGACTAGTATCTACTTCCTTAATGGTGAGTGATTATATCTTAGTGAAAGACTAGTATCTACTTCCTTAATGGTGAGTGATCATGTCTTAGTGAAAGACTAGTATCTACTTCCTTAATGGTGAGTGATCATGTCTTAGTGAAAGACTAGTATCTACTTCCTTAATGGTGAGTGATTATATCTTAGTGAAAGACTAGTATCTACTTCCTTAATGGTGAGTGATTATATCTTAGTGAAAGACTAGTATCTACTTCCTTAATGGTGAGTGATCATGTCTTAGTGAAAGACTAGTATCTACTTCCTTAATGGTGAGTGATTATATCTTAGTGAAGACTAGTATCTACTTCCTGAATGGTGAGTGATCATGTCTCAGTGAAAGACTAGTATCTACTTCCTTAATGGTGAGTGATTATATCTTAGTGACTAGAAAATGGTGAGTGATCATGTCTTAGTGAAAGACTAGTATCTACTTCCTTAAATGATTATATCTTAGTGAAAGACTGATCTACTTCCTTAATTAGTGATGTCTTAGTGAAAGACTAGTATCTACTTCCTTAATGGTGAGTGATTATATCTTAGTGAAAGACTAGTATCTACTTCCTTAATGGTGAGTGATCATATCTTAGTGAAAGACTAGTATCTACTTCCTTAATGGTGAGTGATCATGTCTTAGTGAAAGACTAGTATCTACTTCCTTAATGGTGAGTGATTATATCTTAGTGAAAGACTAGTATCTACTTCCTGAATGGTGAGTGATTATATCTTAGTGAAAGACTAGTATCAACTTCCTTAATGGTGAGTGATCATGTCTTAGTGAAAGACTAGTGTGCAGTGCAAGGAAATATCCTTCAAACATGTGGAGTGGTGGTATCTAAGGTACAGACTAGTGTCCTGATATCCAACATTACCCTCCTTCCCATAAGGTCAGTGGCAGACTAGCATCTTGATATCACAGCATTACTCCAATAATGTGAGTGACAGACTAGCATCTTGATATCACAGCATTACTCCAATAATGTGAGTGGCAGACTAGCATCTTGATATCACAGCATTACTCCCATAAGGTGAGTGGCAGACAAGCATCTTGATATCACAGCATTACTCCAATAATGTGAGTGGCAGACTAGCATCTTGATATCACAGCATTACTCTCCCATAAGGTGAGTGGCAGACTAGCATCTTGATATCACAGCATTACTCCCATAATGTGAGTGGCAGACTAGCATCTTGATATCACAGCATTACTCTCGTAATGTGAGTGGCAGACTTGCATCATGATAATACAGCACTACTCCCATAAGGTGAGTGGCAGACTAGCATCTTGATATCACAGCATTACTCCCATAAGGTGAGTGGCAGACTAGCATCTTGATATCACAGCATTACTCCCATAAGGTGAGTGGCAGACTAGCATTTTGATATCACAGCATTACTCCCATAAGGTGAGTGGCAGACTAGCATCATGATATCACAGCATTACTCCCATAAGGTGAGTGGCAGACTAGCATCTTGATATCACAGCATTACTCCCATAAGGTGAGTGGGAGACTAGCATCTTGATATCACAGCATTACTCCCATAAGGTGAGTGGTAGACTAGCATCTTGATATCACAGCATTACTCCCTTAAGGTGAGTGGCAGACTAGCATCTTGATATCACAGCATTACTCCCATAAGGTGAGTGGCAGACTAGCATCTTGATATCACAGCATTACTCCCATAAGGTGAGTGGCAGACTAGCATCTTGATATCACAGCATTACTCCATAAGGTGAGTGGCAGACTAGCATCTTGATATCACAGCATTACTCCCATAAGGTGAGTGGCAGACTAGCATCTTGATATCACAGCATTACTCCCATAATGATAGTCAGACAGCATTATATCACAGCATTACTCCCTTAAGGTGAGTGGCAGACTAGCATCTATCACAGCATTACTCCGATAAGGTGAGTGGCAGACTAGCATTGATATCACAGCATTAAGGTGAGGTGAGTGGGAGACTCAAACATCTTGATATCACAGCATTACTCCCATAAGGTGAGTGGCAGACTAGCATCTTGATATCACAGCATTACTCCCATAATGTGAGTGGCAGACTAGCATCTTGACATCACAGCATTACTCCCATAATGTGAGTGGCAGACTAGCATCTTGACATCACAGCATTACTCCCATAATGTGAGTGGCAGACTAGCATCTTGATATCACAGCATTACTCCCATAAGGTGAGTGGCAGACTAGCATCTTGATATTACAGCATTACTCCCATAAGGTGAGTGGCAGACTAGCATCTTGATATCACAGCATTACTCCAATAAGGTGAGTGGCAGACTAGCATCTTGATATCACAGCATTACTCCCATAAGGTGAGTGGCAGACTAGCATCTTGATATCACAGCATTACTCCCATAAGGTGAGTGGCAGACTAGCATCTTGATATCACAGCATTACTCCCATAAGGTGAGTGGCAGACTAGCATCTTGATATCACAGCATTACTCCCATAAGGTGAGTGGCAGACTAGCATCTTGATATCACAGCATTACTCCCATAAGGTGAGTGGCAGACTAGCATTTTGATATCACAGCATTACTCCCATAAGGTGAGTGGCAGACTAGCATTTTGATATTACAGCATTACTCCCAAAAGGTGAGTGGCAGACTAGCATCTTGATATCACAGCATTACTCCCGTAAGGTGAGTGGCAGACTTGCACCTTGAAATCACAACGTTACCTTTATTATCAGGTAAGTAACAGACTAGCGTCCTGATATCACAGCATGCCCTTCCCAAATCAAATGCCCTTTGATTTGACCTGCTTAAGTAAGATATAGCCAACAGTCATATTTTTATCAATATTGTCCCCATGTAAACTGATATCATCAATGCCAAAGAAGTTTGGTGTCACTGATTGCAGATAAGCCTTAGGCTGTGATGAGATGTTAATTGGGCAACCAAATCTAATATATGAATATGAACCAGCATAAAATCTTCAAAAGGTTTATTTCCATATTTCTAGGATCCATAACCACAGTCCAACTGAAATGCAGTCAAGCCGCCCAGACCATAACAACAACACCAACTACCACAACATCAACAACTACTACCACCACTACCACCACCCCAAGACCCATCATCACCAGTACCCCTTATAACCCAACCACGACCAGACCGACCTACACCCCAGGTGTAACAACATGGAAGGGGACCTATGGTCCGACCACCCAGTCGACACGCACTACAACAGTCTACACGTACACTGGCTTCCCCAGCAGTGTCAGTCAGACAGCAAGTGAGCCGATGTTTAAAGTAAATGTTGTTGTCATTATTGTTCTGCATAACTTGCTTGGTGCTTGGCGACGGAGTAAGTAACTATCAGCACTCATTAACAAGAAGGGCCAGACCACTGTTTTCTTGCTTCATACATAAGAATACTTAGCTTACTTTTTCAGATGAGACAAAACACATTTAGATACAACATTTTCATTCATCGTTTCATTTTTCAAGAGATTTCACATAAAAAAACAACCACTACTTTAACATAAAAGGAGTTTTAACATTAACTGAAAAAACCCAGCCTAAATCATCATCATCATCATCATCATCTGAAGTTCTTGAAAGGCAATTAGAAGTTGGACGAACATGAATACATCATCGTCGTCGTCGGCATCATCATCATCATCAAACTGTCCCCCTGCAACTTCAATATTGAGCTAAATATTGGTAAAACAAGTATACAAAATTCAATCCTCTCCAGAGAAACATACTGATATTTTCCTAAACAGCAACATCAGCATAAGAAAAGCTAAAGCACAGAATTACATCAAACTCAGGGATATGGCATAGTCTTTGTACTGGACCATTGCATACATTTTCCCAGATGAAGTTTTACAAGAACACAATTTCAATTATAATATGTGAGTTTGCATACATAGAGTCCAGACACATAACACTATTGCATCAGTCATGTTACAACAGAAGAGAAAAACTTGATTATGTGTGTATGAGTTGAACCCATCCTTCAGGTTGATGGGCCAAACGATTGTCATGGTTACCACACCTGGAATGTTGATTTCAAGTATTTTCCGATGCACATATCTGCATATTTCTTACTGTGACAAGAATCTGAGCTCATATTTCCTCATGGAACATTCATGAAACAGACTATTAAATTTGTTCTTTAAATTTCTGTTCATCCATGACATGATTGCATCAGAGTCCTCCACTTTAGTAAGAAAAAGCCAAGCCAAGATAGTGAGTAAAAGTGAGGCAGCACTAACAATAGTCCAGCAATATCACAGCGGGGGACACCAGAAATGGCTTCACACATTGTATCCATGTAGGGAATAAAACCCAGTTCTTCAGCATGACGAGCAGACGCTTTAACCACTAGGCGTCCACACCGCCTCCAAGCCAAAAAAGAATAGCAGTCCAGCGGAGACCTGACAATGCAACTGTGACACATTCAACATTACAGACTGACTGACTGACTGACTGACTGAGTTTGGTTTTACGCTGCTTTTAGCAATATTCCAGCCACATCATGGCAGGGGGCACCCGAAATGGGCTTCACACATTGTACCCATGTGGGGATTCGAACCCGGGTCTTCGGCGTGACGAGCCAACACTTTTAACCACTAGGCTACCCCCACCACCCCCAACATTACAGACATATGTTTAATATAGATTAAGGTTGAATATAGTCATCTTCACATTCATTGGTGCTTTGTGTTGTATCTAAGTACAAACAAACATCCAAAATCCTGTATTTCAGCAACATTTCTGACAAATAAAAAGTAGTATTTGTCACTAGTTCTACACCTGTCCCCAACAATGGGAGAAGTCAGGATGATTTTCAAGCAATGACTCGAGTCCAAGCATCATGTGTAAAAGTAACTACACATCTGTGCAGGTCTGTTTTGATAGAGCTAATAGTTTTAAACTGTGTATTTTGTAATGATTTTTTTCAAACATGTCAATAATACAAGTAATTTTTTAGCACAAGTAGTATTAGTTTAAACTACCAACTCAATCTTATAATGTTCTAAGATACTTGACCTAATTACCCATATTTATTACCAGTTCAAAACCAGTACTGCTTTCAAAACATTCCTATCATCATGAATGGAAATAAAATTACTGTGTTTTCTCTTATCTTGAACCGAGTGCCTGCTTACAGGTGAAAAAATGAGATATGTTATTTACAATGTGATTCTGATGGATTATTGGCAACCATTGTCATAGGCATCATTGTGTAGGCTATTGATGTTTTCATACCTATGAATTATTTGTGAATAGGCATGAAAGGATATCAAATTGAATTAGATACCTGATTTAATCAAGCTTCAAGCTAAAGCAAATACTGGGTGCCATGCTACAATCTTGATCAACAACTGGGGAAATTGAGCATGGAGGCAGATTGACCACCCCAATAATAAAATAGGTTAAAACAGTTATACCAAGGCTTGCATCAGCATTAGAGTTTACAATTGTGAGTGAGAGACAGTATACAGCACATTACAACCAGGGGTGGAAATAACTTTAAAATTGCTAGTGTACTCCGGTACAGTGGCACATGTAAAATCACTTGCCCTGATAATTTTTCCACTGTACCGGCCATTTTCTTGTTGATTTTGTAATTAACAACATAATTAACACTGGAAAGTCAGCTGGACACCGGTACAGTGTGATATGCAAATTTGCTTGCCCGACAGAAAAAAACACTGGACTCGGACGTCGGGCAATGGGTTATTTCCACCCCTGATAACTGAAATATTTTTTTCTCAAAAGTATAGAAACCTTTAGAGAGGGGTGTGCATTATACACAGGTGTGCAATATACTGAAAAAATATGGTCCATGTGAATGGCTTTGGGGCAACTGGCAATACCTCTGTGAGTGGTTCAGACTGGTTTAACATCACATTTACTAATATTGAAATCATATCACTTCTTGTCAGTGTGGTGTTGAAGGAAAGTTTGAAGGGAGAACAGATATAGTGCGGACAGACATAGACACAATCATGGCCAATCTGGCATTTAAACAAGGTGATAACATACTTGTCTATGGATTGCAATACAGCAAATAGTGGCACCATTGATGACTGGACTGCCTATGCACTCACTTCATCCAACACAGGATATGCAGGGGGTTGTCTATCCCAAGCTGTACTGATTACTGATCCGATTAATTGAAATAATCAAAGATTGGTCGCATTGACAAAACGACCAAGCCATCGATCATGTTTTCTTATAATCGAACACTATCAATTTTGGAACACTTGTTTGCAATAACAATATTTTTCACAAGGTTGGTTTTGTCTGTTAGATTTCATTAGCACTACAAGCTCTTCCAATTCATTATGAATTTATTTTAAAGACTCCATGAAATTAATGTTCCTAACATGCTAGTCATCATTTAAAGATGTGAAATTTGCAAATGCATTTTGTGCAATTTGCACAGAAAACGAAAGACCTACATGTTTTTTTCTTTATCTTTTGTGCATTAATAAACATAACCAGGAAAATTTGATAAATGACGCTAACCAATTATTTTCGATGATTGATTGGTTGTAATGAACCAGTCATCAATTATGAGATTGAAACCAATTCCCAACACTACAAGGCGATGAGTACATATATCAGGACAGGCCTGCTAGAAAATATCCTCTAAGTTGGACCAAAGAGACAACTGATTGTTATCATCAGCATAATCTTACACCAGGGACGAAGACACACAATTAATGCATATATCAGATAAAGAACACAAAAAGGCCTACTTTGCACAGCACATTTTGGCTGCCATATTTGTGGTATATTATCGAAAACTAATGATTTCTAACAAGTATAAAAGCAATTTATAGCCTACTAATGAACTAACACTGTGTATATTGATGAAGTTATCTGTGCATGTCTGTGTGTATGCCTATCCATGAAGATCCCATGCTTATTGTTAGAGGCGACTAACAGGATTGGGTGGTCAGGCTCGCTGACTTTGTTGACACATGTCATCGGTTCCAATTGCTCATGCTGTTGATCACTGGATTGCCTGGTCCAGACTTGATTATTTATGGACCGATGCCTTATAGCTGGAATATTGCTGACTGCGTCACTCAGTGTGCATATCTATGTGTGTGTCTGTGTGTATGCGTGCATGTATGCAGAAAATAGAGTCAGACACTGTACATGCTGGTCTACAGTTTGGTAAATGTCTGAAAACTCCAACCATACTGATGAATGAAGAGCGTAAATAGAACTCTGAAAAGTAATTTTTTCAGTTAACAGCAACTCATCAGGCCACTGCAATTTTTTCATACAATATGTGAAACCGTAAAAACAACCACATTAATTTTAGAGACAATGTGAAAATGTCCACACATTCAAAGACTTCCTGTGGAATTAAAGGACAGACTATTCCATAGGTAATGCTGGTATTTTATGAAACAGAATACATTTTCCCAGAATATAAGTAAATGGAATAATATCGTTTCTGACATTGTCTGTGTTCAACAGCTTTGGCCATACCCTTCAGTGGTAGGTAATATTAACTGACTACATTGACAATTTGAAGACAATAAGTTTTCAGGATAGCACTATCCACAGCATGTACTTTGTCAGACAATAGTTTTATTGGTTTGTGGTGTTTATTATTGTGTACATCTCCTTTGTGTATATATGTGAGACAATCTGTATAGAATGTTCAATACAACAGAGATATAACATGATATTAGAGGTGTGACGATACAGAAATTTATGATACGATAAGTATCGCGATATCATAGAACGATACGATTCGATACGATGCATATCACGATATGCTATCTTTAGTTATTTTCTTTAAAAAAGTGTATTTTGATAACAAGAAACTGTAAATTTTGACATTCACTATTTAAAGGTCAACGATACATATCATGATACGGAAAAAAGTATCGATATATTTATTGTCAGAAAAAGTATCACGATTATCGATACTATGATATATCGTCACAACTCTACATGATATAATGAAAATTTAGGCATAATCACATCATCATTGATATTTTAAAAGCATAAACATTTGAACCATGTTCCTTGAATCTACAATTACAACAGAACTAGTTCTGTTTTTCAGTATGAGTTAAAATTTTCAAGACAATTATCCATAAGCTTGAAAAGAAGTCATCTTTAGCCAATAATGAATCATACAACTGTTTGGATGGCGACTTCTTGTTTATTGCAAATAGGGCTATGTTTAGATATATATTTTACACAGTTATCAAGCTAAACATGTACTGTTATCAAGAACTGTGTATTATAGCTCACACATGTGATTTGTCTTTCCAGTTATTATTATCTGCTCTATTGTTGGCGCTGGTCTTCTAGTCGGAATCATCATTGCAGTTGCTGCCATCATGGGAAAACGGTAAGCAAAAACATTGCTTCATATTAAATTTTTAACACACATTAATAATATAGTAAAAGTTATCATATTATTTAAGCATTAATATTGAAATTGGCATATTAAATTTGTCTTCCAAATTAATGCTTACACTCTGCATGAGGAATTCCATTGCTGCATTTAGATAGGTTGATTGGTTGATTAGTTGATGGGTGATTGCTTGATTGGTTGAATAAATCACCAGGACTGGGGCTTTAGGGTAGCTACTGGCTTATGCACATAGTCTTATTAAGATGTACAACTGTAATTATCATAACAAAAATAGCACATATTTTCCATGAGAGAGATCCCAGTAGTAGTCATCAAATAGATTTTTTATATGCTGAACACCTGAAAATAATTTTTCCAGTTTGTTTCAAAACTTGTTCATGATGCAAAAATTACAAGAAAATGTTGACATGACCTTTCAGAAATTGCAATCAAATTTGTCCTGTTCCCCAGAGCTGTACTGTTTGAATTTTTGGTGATTCTTCTCAAATATATGTTTAGTCATGCTCCAGCTACTTTCCAGTTTTCTCTCTTTGTTCATCTGCCCACATGACAAATACATTAAAATTCATATATAACGACCCCATATGTTGCAACCACAGCCAGAAAACAGCTTTGTTAACTGCTTCAAGCTTCACACTGGTGACAGGGATTTAAGAGTTATCTCCCTTGATGAGTTACCTGCCACCCTTATAATTTTTCCAGGGATGACCAAACTGAAAAGAAGGATGTTGTGTGAGCAACGTTAACGACAAATTGCACCAGTTTGAACCAGATATTTTTTTCAGGAGACAACCAAGAAGGAATGCAAACAAAAATCGCTTCAGTGTACCAGCAAATAGTAATTTGGACAATGGCAACAACAGTTACCTGGGACACAAACGTATAGGCAATGGTGTTGATGAGAGAAGCGAAGACTTTTTACATCGTGCTGTTACCTCAAGTCACAAGAAACACCCGTCTCTCAACAGAATGTATGATAACAATGGATATGACAATTACGAACATTCTCGCAATTTCAGCACGCTTGTTGTCAGTGAACGATTGTAAGATTGACATTTATTGTATCCTCAAAGTGTTTTTGTCAATGAAGCATTAATCAAATTGAAAACATAATCACAATAAATATTTTCAATTTTAAAAACTACCTATTTAGAACAACACATGACAATTGAACATTTGTTTTGTCTTCACCTTTAAACAACTCTAAACTCTTGTTTTAAAATATTACAATTAACAAATATAATCATAATCTTTTAAATGTTTTATGAATTGTGAATTGAATCTAATAATTAATTTATTTTGCTTCATGCTCATAAGTGAATATTTCTTCATGTATGCTTGTAATATTTCCTTACATTACCTATGCAATTTAATTTTTGTGTTTTTGACATACAAGCCAAATGCTTCAACCTATATGTAGCTTAATATATTTTTGACTGCAATGCAAGTAAATGCATTTATATATATTGTATTTTTCTTTTTTGGTTGCCAGGGTTGTATGTCTGAGATTATCGTCATGGAAACATCCTTATTATCATGATTATCAGCATTATCTATATTTGCTTGATGGAATATTGCATAATAATGTTATTTCAACCAATTTTTAAATATTCAGGGGATATGAAATGTTTGCCCCTCTTAAAGTTCAAACTGCTTTATTCATATGCATATGAACTTTATATAAGGAAGCTGTCAATGCTCAAAGGTCAACATTGGAAGTCGTCATTGGAAAATACGAGCCTGATTGTAAAGTTGGGGTCGAGAATTTTACAGTTTAGATTTATGCAATACATCATTGCAAGGGAAATGCTTCATTTTCACAAATTACAATCTGATGTGGTGATGTGGCCAATAAGGACATGGGGGTGAAATATTTTTCAAATGCCTCATAATTTTACAAATTTTGGAAAAATATGAATGCTCTCCCATTTGCCCTTCACTGACACTCATTTGAAGTCCAGTATAGATAAATGCATGTTTGGGATACTTATTAACAATGATTATATGGTAGAACTGCAAAATGAAAATATGTAAAATTGTCTTAATTTACTTGTCTTGAATTGTTCATACCATACATAGATATTTGATCATATTTAGCAGTTTGTAGTGTACATAAGTTTAATGGTTGAAGGTAAAGCTATCATTGACCTGGCCAATACTCTTTTCCCAAAAATTTGATTCAGTTATAGGATGTTTTAAAATAATGATGCTGTGATTTGCTGTAAATATTATAATGAAATATAACTTAATGCAAGATGAAACTACAGCTGAATCTTCCATGGGACTTTTCATAAAAATAGATATTTTTACATATTGCTTCGTCAACAGATTATAGAACATTTTCTGAAAGTAAATTTTTTCAAACTGTGTACAAATAAATGTTAGCAGATTGATGGAATCAGTGTAGCATAAATATATAGATAGGTATATCCTTAGGGACCGTTCATAATTTATGGCTAGGGGGGTGATGATGAATTTTATGGAGAAGCATGTACAATGTGAATGACCCCCCCCCTAAAATTTATGTACAAAATAAGTCCCCCCTGCATGTCATATGTCATGCACAAAATCAATGCCCCCCCTCCCTTCCCATCTTTCCCAAGCATAATTTTAAGCATATTTTTATGTACAAAATTGCTGACCCCCTAGTACGTGGGTACAAAATTGATAACCCCCTAGCTCCCCAGAACAAAAGGGTGACCCCCTTAAAATCATCACCCCCACCCCCTAGCCATAAATTATGAACGGTCCCATAGCTTACATCATGCTTAATAATTGTTTAGAGGAGCATGCTTTCTACATTTGTATTGGCCAATTTAAGGCTTTATTGATGAGGTCACATATATTTCACAGTAGGTAGGGGAGAGGTGCCAATGTTATATTACAAGTATTAATGTTACACATAATCTTTGTTCATATAGCTGGGATGTGGGTTTTGAAAAATGCATTCAATATAAATGTGTTGTGCTATATTATTATATTACCATACTTTTGAATAGAATGTGTTTAATAATCTAAGAAATTAAAATTGCTTTAAAACATTCAAAATGTATCCATTTTCAATAAAACCAAAACACAATGAGTTTTCTTATTCAATGAATATGGGATACGATATTATCAGAAGCGTCAATAAAATATACCTTTTTCAAAGCAGCTTGCAGACGTTCAGCCGACATCAATAAAGCTATTTCCTGTCTTTGGTAGATAATTCCCCCCTCTTGCACGGGGCATAACGTCACTCACATTTCGCCATAAGCTCAGTGTGGAAAATGACAACCGGTTCGCTCTGTGAATCACTTTCTTTCCGTTTACGTTTTTCTTACCACTCTCTGACAAATCGCCCAACGAACGGGTTATTCACAAATTGTACAATCGGGAAAAAGCGGATTATGGAACTGGAACCCGTGACACAATTATCAGGTCCCTCGATAGCCTCGGAAGTATTTTATTTCAGTTTCACCTGTTTTATCAGTTCCTTTTTATTCTGAATCTGTCAACAATGAGTATAGTTTTTTAAATTTAATTTTTCTTTTCAACTGTACCGTGAGCAGTTTCCTTGCACGTTTCGGGTGAGTTCGGTTTAACACTGATCTGAGCCGAATTTCGGATGTGCCAGCTTGGTGCGGTGGGATATCCTGAAGAGATACCCAACGTACATGTATATATCTCAGTAAACACCGGCGGGACGGTGGGGCAGCCTAGTGGTTATAGAGCGTTCCCTCGTCACGCCGAAGACCCGGGTTCGATTCCCCACATGGGTGCAATGTGTGAGTCCCATTTCTGGTGTCCCCCTGCTGTGATATTGCTGGAATATTCCTAAAAACGGCGTAAAACCAAACTCATTGAGTAAACACCGGCAGCGACAAACCAAGACGTATTATCAATTAGAATCGGGATTCGAATCAATCACGTCGTGGTTCCTGAAACATGCAAGGGAATTAACTCTGCAAAACGAATCGCTGCGCCTTAGGCATTCCCCGTATTATGCTTGTTTTATACCTATCATATAAGATAAAAATCTGAGGTCGTATTCTAACAGACCCAACAAAGCCATACCAAACAGCCTGTTTTCTGATCTGTTTACTTTCCACACCAAGACATGGAACATTTTTCGTACAATCGACTTGTCATTTGAAACATATTCTTTTAGAAATCTAAGAGGTGTAAGGCAGATGAAGATGTGGACATTTCTTCCACTGAAGGGTAACTTGGCAGAGATTCAATCGGCATTTCACTTATCGCCTACTGTCCTTTGCTGCACATAAATGTGGTACATATATTCATTCAATACAGCCATATGGTACGTGTATACATTAAGTATATCCATATAGTACTTGTATACATTCAGTACAATCATAAGGCACCTATATCTATATCAGTATATCCATATGTTACCCATATATATAGGGTATATCCATATGTTACCCATATATATAGGGTATATCCATATGTTACCCATATATATAGGGTATATCCATATGTTACCCATATATATAGGGTATATCCATATGTTACCCATATATATAGGGTACATCCATATGTTACCCATATATACGTAGTATACATTCAGTACATCCATATGTTACCCGTATATATAGGGTATATCCATATGTTACCCATATATATAGGGTATATCCATATGACACCCATATATATAGGGTATATCCATATGTTACCCATATATATATAGGGTATATCCATATGATACCCATATATATAGGGGTATATGCATATTTTACTTATGCACATTAGCACATCAATATGTTACCTATCTACATTCAGTACATCCATATGTTTCAAATAATCATTCAGTACATCCATATGTTACCTTTATAAGTTCACATTAAGTACATCCATATGATATACATATCTACATTCAGTACACCCATGTAGCATACATCTACATTCAGTACGTCCATATGGTACATATCTACTTTCAGTACATCCATATGGTACATATCTACTTTCAGTACATCCATATGGTACATATCTACATTCAGTACATCCATATGGTTCATATCTACATTCAGTACATCAGTGTGTTCACTACATACATACTGTACAGCCATGTGGTACTTGTATACATTCAGTACATCATGTGTTACCTATCTACAATCAGTACATCCATATGGTACCTGTATACGTACATTCAATACATCACGTGTTACCTATCTAAATCAGTACATCCATATGGTACCTGTATACGTACATTCAATACATCACGTGTTACCTATCTAAATCAGTACAGCCATATGGTACCTGTATACGTACATTCAATACATCACGTGTTACCTATCTACAATCAGTACAGCCATATGGTACCTGTATACGTACATTCAATACATCACGTGTTATACCTATCTACAATCAGTACAGCCATATGGTACCTGTATACGTACATTCAATACATCACGTGTTACCTATCTACAATCAGTACAGCCATATGGTACCTGTATACGTACATTCAATACATCACGTGTTACCTATCTACAATCAGTACAGCCATATGGTACCTGTATACGTACATTCAGTACATCATGTGTTACCTATCTACAATCAGTACAGCCATATGGTACCTGTATACGTACATTCAATACATCACGTGTTACCTATCTCAATCAGTACATCCATATGGTACCTGTATACGTACATTCAATACATCACGTGTTATACCTATCTACAATCAGTACATCCATATGGTACCTGTATACGTACATTCAATACATCATGTGTTACCTATCTACAATCAGTACATCCATATGGTACCTGTATACGTACATTCAATACATCATGTGTTACCTATCTACAATCAGTACATCCATATGGTACCTGTATACGTACATTCAATACATCACGTGTTACCTATCTACAATCAGTACATCCATATGGTACCTGTATACGTACATTCAATACATCACGTGTTACCTATCTAAATCAGTACAGCCATATGGGACCTATCTACATTCAGTACCTACATGCTACCTGTATAGGTCTATAGTCAGTATAGCTGTGATACCTATGTATAATCAATACAGTGGCATAGGATAATGGTGATGGTATACCGTAAGCATTGATATGGTACCATTGACGTGTAGTACAACCTGGGGCAAATATCACACCTATGCATTCGGCACTAAACACGACACATATACATTCCACACAATACATGGCACCTACAGGTAAATGTCCATCATGTTGAGGGCGGTGGAGTAGCCTAGTGGATAAAGCGTTCGCTCGTCACGCTGAATACCCGGGTTCGATTCTCCACATGGGTATAATGTGTGAGGCCCATTTCTGGTGTCCCCCCGTTGTGATATTGCTGGGATATTGCTAAAAGCAGCGTAAAACTTAACCCAATCAATCACAGTACATCATGTTGTATGCGCTTAGAGCATGTCCCTGCAGCGTGGAGTTCAGTGCTATGTAAGTGGCGATATTATAATTATTATGACAGGTTCCTTACAAGCCATGACACCTATACATTCCGCACAAGATCTGACTCCTACACGTTCTGTACAACAGTTGGCACCTGTTTATTCGGTACAACAATGTTACCTGCACAGTGAGAACAACACATGGTCCCTCAATATTCAATATTTTGCCTAAACGTTCACGATGGATATAAACTATGTTCATGCATAAGGGCGTGGAGTCAGCCCATAGATGACATCTTTCTGACCCTAGGCTGGACACATGTCCATATGACCGACTAGGTAAACCTCACTACCACGCCGACATGGCAAGGACGTCGTCTGTGGGATGATTCCACCCCCTGCTACATTTTCATGGCTATTCAGTACAATACACGGTGCCCAGACCGACATATATGTACGTGCAGTAAAACACACACCACCATGTACAACCGATGGTACATGTACAATGATTGTACTTCTGTTTATAAAGCGT